AGCAAAAATTTAAAATTATGTTTTAAAACAATAACTGTACAACAAACTTAATGCATACAAGGGGGATGTCATATTTAATCTGCATTCCAAAGACAGTCAAAAGAGTTTGTCTGCTGAGTCATGAACACAATACCAACACTTTAGTAAGCCAACCCAATTCAATCAAATTCTTTTAAACTAGAAATCTATTTTATTTACTGTAACTATTTTAGGATGCTTTGTAGGTCAATGTCCTCCCCAAATATGGAGAAAAGGTGAAAAGTTCTGGCTTTTCCTGGACACAAAGGAGATTAGGGAAAGAGACTCTGCAAGCATAGTGTACTTTGTAGGATCACTCTGATCCATGCATGTAAATATTGCAAATGCGAAGCCAGCCTGGTGAATTATAACTAGAACAAATTATATGCCAAGTACTAAAGTCTTTGGAACAGACCACCAGTAAATAAACATAAGCACATATAAGTGGAATAACTATGAATTCTTTTCCTGTTTATCTTTCACTTCCTTCCCTATATCCATTTTAAGACTACAGGTAGTCCCCAGTTTAAGGACAAGTTCTGTTCCCAAAGTCTGTCCTTAAGTTGAATTTGTACGTAAGCCAGAACAGTATTATTGTATAATACTGTATAAGTAATATTGGGTAATTAACTCAAACCCTTGTGTATTTAACTCGAATTTTGCTACAATAGGCTCTGTTCTTAACTATGGCTCATCCTTAAACTGGGTATTCTTAACCTGGGGTGTACCTGTAATCTATTTGGAGTAGATAATGCCATATAAATAATAATATACAGGTAATGTTCTGTTAATAAAATAAATATTATCAAAGTACTTGGTAGAATTGCAAATGTGAAGAATTCAGATTAACATGATAGCCATATCACACATTGTGCTTAAGCTAACTATTGAGTTAACTATTTGGACAATATTTTGAATCAGAAACTAATCAAAGGGTCTGGGTTCAATGCAACATGTTACACCACAAAAAAGCTAATCAATATTAAAACAAGACAGACTTAGTATGCTGTCTGAAAGCAGCAACTAGTTTATAATTGATTTGGTTTGGCATATTGTGCAAACATAACCATTGGGAGCTGTGTTTCACATCTTTTATATTTACGAAAAATAACTATAATAATTCTTCTGTTCTGTGGTTAGAACCATCCCATACTAACTAGTGGTGAGGCAGAACAGCACACCAGTACAGATCATTTTGATTAAAAAAATTGTACATCTGTATACCACATCAAATGATACCTGCAGTTACATTTTATAAGACTTATGTCTTCCTTTCAGTGTGTACACCATCACGATGACTTATACCATTCAACACAAAGAGTACTGGTCTGCTGGTGTGCTAATTCAACAATATAACAAACATATATTTGTTAGATCTGGAGCTACCAAAACCACTGGACATGTTCTTTTATATTGTTTATGTTATAGCAATCTTCATATGGAATTTATGTCACCTCTATTACTACATCTTCCTAAACAGCCAGAGGTTTATGTTTCTCTCCTTTTAGCAGACAAACTTACAAAGTAGCCAAATTCTGGGATAGCAATTGTAGGTTCCATTGGAATATTCCAGAGAAATATTCATCTTTGTTGAAAATAGGATATTATATTCTAGATGTTCCCATTGCATTTTAAATATGCATGTAAAAATAGTTATTCTACTAAATTTTATTCAATTCAATTCAAGCAAAGCAAAAAGATTATCTTAATAAAAACAGTAGATAGATTTTAAAAAGCAGCTAGAAATCCTTAACAGACTCCTAATTCTGCTAAATGCTAATGAGAGCAGGTGGTCTTTCTTGATACTGCAGAATAATAGAGATGCTACTTGTAAACTGCTCTAAAAGGTTAGCAATTTCAGTGTCATCACATCTCTGTTAGTCTCCAGTCTAATAAAGGTTTTCCACTGAAAACTCACACATATTAATCTAAGAACCTCTTTCACCCTCCAGATCCTTTCTAGGCTCACCCTCTCTGCTAAATACCAGTCAGTGAAGGTAAATCCAGTTATCTAAAAAAGTTTACAAGATAGCCAGTCAAGTAATCCAAGCTAAGTAGGCATTAACTTTAACATTATTCAGCATAACAAAGTAACATGTGTTTATATTTTTACATACATAAATTGTTCACTTTTTCAGCATCATACTTTTTTCTACAGCTATACAGACCATACCTGGACTACCCCAATTAGCACAAAGAGAAAGAATGTGAACCCATTTTTTCTTATAAAAAATTATACTGTCCAGAAGAATACCATAAAGATTGGCTTCCAAATTATCTACAAATGTTTTATTGAACCCAGATTTCATTATACTCCACTGACACTGTTTTTTGTTACAAATGCTAACTGCTATTCAACAGAGTTTCCAAAGCATAAAAACAGAACTAAAATCATAAAAAGCCCAGATTAAAATACAATGCATCTATACCAAACACAAATGAAGCCAACTGCTCTCTAAAACACCAACAACTTTCATTAAAAAAAGACAGTAGTCACGTGACATCTAAAAACAACCCAAAGTAATTACTGTATCCATGAAATATACTTGAAGAAGATATTCCAGTCCTGGAACTACCTCAAACAAACAAAAATCTATCTAACCCCAAAAGTAGGATTCCTACATAGCTGGGCAGTGCTGGAGAGACTACTAACTCCTAAAGCAGCCCAAAGTCAATAGAAATCTTGCTCCATATGAAAGTATAAATAAATAAATAAAT